ACCCTATTTTTTATTGATGGAAGTTAAACTATCGGGGTAAACAAGTATGAGCTTCGTCTAATTTAGTTTCACCTACTTTTTTACGTTGTTAAGAATTATCTTTTAGCACAAAATAATTTTTATTATGTTGATGCTTTCCACCAAGTGCGCGGCGCCSATCCTGATCGAATCAAAGATTAGACACCAGTTTGGTATACTRTTTTTTCCCGCGCTTCGAGGGGTTTTCAAGCCAACCTCGCTATCGCAGGCATTAACCAACCATCTAATAGCAGTTTAATATGATAAAAAACAGTTGAGGAAGCTGTGTGCACTGCTAGATGAACTTTAGAGTCAAAGCATTGTTGATAAATGTTTTTATCTTTAACTTTGTTGCTGTTCCGTTTTTGTTATTTTATAGAAATATACAAAAATGGCTGTCAGAGTGTTTGCAATCTTTGTTTATACTTTACTTGCCTACAATAGTTTGTAAGTATGCTATTTTAACTGGATTGTTTCCGCGTTATAGGGTTTTGACCTAGAAGGGTCCGCGGAGCAGGTCAATTTTTTATCTGCTACTTAGAAAATGCTCTACAAGTGCCATTCGCTCTTTAGAATGGAAATTCAATGAAATGTCGTTCCCACCTCTAAAGTGATACCTTTTGGCAGCGTCAAGTAGTATTTTCATGAATTCTCTGCATATGAAATATCTTGTCGATGCCCATCAACTTCAAGAATTCCTGCCCCTCTAACTTGATCCAGCCTTTTCTAGTCGTAAGCCCACAAAACTAAAACATGCTCGACGGTTTCTGCCAAGGTAGTCTGTACTATCTTGTACACTTAATTTCAAAATGTTTGTTCATTACAAATGGTCACTTGAACAATTTTCTACTTCAGTTAGTGATAATAATTTGACCATGTACAAGTTCAGGAATAAAGCTCAAACACTAGGTTTGGGGTTGATTTTATTCTAGTGCTGTCGGAGCACTTTTTTCATTAAAAACTAGTCTCAACACTTAAGGTTTTTATTTAAGAATTGGAAGAAAAKAACATGCTAGGGGTAACACTGACGATCCCCTTCTTACTTAACAATACGAATTTACATGTTCAAAAAAAATGCAGTCTTATAACTGGTTTTTTTTTTTCATTTTCTCTTGTCCTTTAAAAAGGAGTAAAGCAAAATTCCATCCTCGCGACAAGTCGCGCCATTCATTTGATGCTAGTTCCTTACGTGACACTCTGGAGACCGCAGAGGTGCCTCGTCCATCGCCAGTTTACTATGGMTGTTTTTTGGGCAAAAATCTTCAGTTGCTTAACAACACCATTCTTGACGGGAATACCAACGCTSTTTGCCAGAAGTATTGCTATGACATGAAACACATGTTTTCAGCCACTCACGATGACATSTGTGGCTGCTTGAAAGACCACCCGCAAAAGGAACTATCGGGTATGCAAAYYTTTTGTATTCTGGACACCGTTTACTAGACTCCTCTCAGCCGTTTTCATTGTCATCCTGGGGCTTCACCAAGGAGATGGCTGTGAGAACTGTTCACATTTAGTATTTTCTAAACCGCATGTTGTATGTTGCTTTTTTATTTTTGAATTATCTGAAGTATTCACTTTCAAAAGTATTATCCTAATATTTTCGGTTTTGTGTAAGCAGTAAACCGATGTGCCTTTGAATTATCCGGATGTAAACGTGGCCTTAAATTAATGGTATCTCGTAATAATTCCATTATCCTCGTCAGTTTCCCAAAGGAAACTGGAGAACCAGGACCGAACCTAGTACATATTGGAATTTTCGAATGGGAATGGTATTAGCTCAGCGTGCAAGAATCTCAGATGGACCAGTCATTTTAAGAATAATTAAAACTGTCTTTATCAAAAACAGTGTCTGATCTGCCAAAACAGATAATTCCAAAAAGACTCTCACATATATATTCACCTTTCTTTATTATATGTTTGAGGGTCCAAAGAAGTTTTAAGTTTTTCTCCTACGCAGAAAATGAAGTCACATGATCTGTTCACGTTTCATTGTAGTCGTGGTTTCTTTTACTTCTAAAATTATTTCAAAATGATTGTGTTATTGTTATTACTCTGTGAACTTGCCTTGGGCTAACCTTTGCTTGACTGTGATTACGCAATTTTACGGCGCACCTTCTCAACAGTCTGGTCATGCTTTTGCATCAAACTGAGACGACCACTGAGTATGCAATGCTAGAAATTGTCCTTCACGCCTGCAGAAAGCTATTCACTATTCTATCATTGCAAGGTYTTCTCCCTTTGATATAAAGGCACCGCTACCTTGCCCTTGCCCTTGACCTTGACTTTGACCTTGACCTTGCCCTTGACCTTGCCCTTGCCCTTGCGTGAGTTGTTTAGCGTATTTAATATCTAATTTAACTTAATCAATTTGTGTAGGTCCACAACACGATGGTGCAACAGTGACAACTACTGATTCTGTTCATGATTGCTCAGCTCCTTGTCCAGGTCATAACACTGACAAGTGTGACAAGCAATTTTGCTGTGGGGGTCCTGGAGCGTACACCGTGTACCAGACTGGAGGTTTGTTTAGGTCTTAGGACTTTTAGTGCAGGCTATATAACTCTTTTGCTAGAACATATTTCAAAAAAGTKTTTTGCCTTTATCACCTTTTTATACACCTACTTGCAGAACCGTTGTCATAGAAAATACAACATTTGAATTTAGTAAAAAGGAATAAATTAAAACAAGACAAAAGAAAGCGTTGAGCCTCAGTGATCTTCCTTTGTCTTTTTGATTTATTCCTTTTTACTAAATACAAATTTCCTATTTTCTATGACAGCGTTTTCGCAAGTAGGTGTAGATACAACAGTACAGAATGACTTTTCTTACGTTTTGATGAATTCTTTGATAGCTTGATAGAAGTGCGGCTGTAATCAGATTGTTTAGAGGGCAATGGCAGAAGATCACGATACGACATATGTAGAGGTCGTCTTGTTCTAAAATGCGAAACGAAAAAGAAAGTGCTTCATCAACGACGAAAATGACAACACATGTATAAGAGGTTTCGGAGAACAATGCGTCTACCATCTTGAAAAGTGAGACCCGAATCACTACGTTGTGCCACATTTCGTAGTTGCTAAGTCAACTAATCAATCATGATATCGTATAATATTAAGTTGAAATTAGCTGAAAACCTTTTAATTTCTTTAGGAGTTATAATTTAGTGATTCATGTTCAACAATTTTCAAGATGGCGGACGCGTTGTTCTCCAAAACTCCTGATGCGTGTACTGTGATTTGATTTATGTTGTCATGTTAATTTAAGGGATGAAAAGTCATTCCCTGGCAGCTATCAAAGTCCTGAAGAACTACAATTTGAACATAGTAAAGTCACATCTCATTCCAATGTTGAATGAAATAAGTAGACGAACACAAATCCCAGTGAAAGAGTTGGAGGAAGAGGTTAAAAAACCGACTGGTAAGTTTTCCTCTTCTTTGTCTTATGCAAGCAGCATGGATCATTTGGCAGTCTTTTTAATTTCATATGAAGATGAATGTCCTTATCCAGCATTTTAGTCACTATTCCGGCTAGTTTTCAGGGAGGACTTACTTGAAACAGAAACGAAACAATAGTGAGGCCTTCCAAGGGGGAGTATGGCTCCCTTGATATATAATTTTACAATTCCTCCCTTGATTCCTATGCAATTTTTGGAATTTTCCCCAAAACAATATCTTTTGCTCATATCAGCCGTTCATCAGGTCGTAAAGTTGACCACCATGTCACCACAGGAACTCCAATATGTATTATTAGCGCACATAAATTGTAAAAGAAGGTTAAAATGTCGTAAAAATCCGGTTACTGGCTGTTTATGATTGATATTTTAATATCAAAAAAATAAAATAAAAAAATAGTACACACACCCCTTCACTATATCCCTGTTATCTGTTTGAAGGTCTATCGTTTATGATCAGGTTATATTTTATTCTTTGTTCTTTAGATGCAAAAGACTATAAGGCATTGCTGAGAGAATTGACACAAAGCAAGATTCCCCAAGGTAATACTCCATTTTCGAGTTCATAGCGAATAAGGGAAGGTACGTTTATTATCGGGGGGGGGAGGGCTGGAGCCTCAGAGGGGAGGGTCATTAGTCAAATTTATAAGCTTAAGGGGAGGGCCACATATTTCATTTGAAGCTAATCAAGGGGAGGGTCATCCTTTTAAGTAGCACCCTACAATTGTAGCAATTAGAACTCATTTTAATTTGATCATATTTTTGTTATTTTATTTTATTTTACGTATGAAACAGTTATCTCAACCTCGATAATATAAAATTGGAATTGCAATATTTCCTGTGTATTTGGAAAATTTATCTACAAGTTTACTAGTCACAAACCAATCTGAGTCAGTTAAATGTCAATTTGAGTCCACGAGACAAAGTTGTCTCGAAGGATTCTGGTTCTTTTGCGTCCATAACGTGAGGAAGTAACATCAGGTGGGGCGTCCGTTACTTCATTAAAGGAACTGCCCTCTGAGGAGTCACTTGACTCACTCAGAGTAGAACTTTCAGAGCCAATTCTTTGATGAATGAAGTCACTCTCTGAGTCTGATACGGTTGGAGCCGTGGCTCGGTGAGCCTCAGTGTCCTGTACAATGGAGGCGAGGATGTTACTGCCCATGTGCGCTTTTATTATAGCAATTTTTTGCTTTTTGACTCCTTTGAATGTCATCTTGTGATGATTCAAATACAAATTAAGTTCGCTTACTTTAAGCGTTGCTAAACTGTCAGAGTTGTAAAGATAAGTCCAGTCAATGTCGTTGTATTCCTGCTGTTCTCGTTGTATTCTTTGCCGGGCAGTTTCTGCTGTCCTTTTTTCTTTCCGAATC